AAAATTACTTCCCCTACCTAGACTTCCTCTACTAACCTTTATGTTTGAGGTTCTCCAAAAGTAGGGGGGTTTCTAAATTATAAAGGAATAAGCTGCCTGTATTGATTATTGTGCATATAGTAAATTACTTTGAATACAACAAAAGCTTGTGTAATGTGAGCCTTAAACGCTTTAAGACATGCTCTGACCTCACCAAATCATCACCTGGTGGAAACAACAGCACTCCATTGTCTTACAGGAGCTAAACTCATTTCCTCAACTAAGGATCTATTCCACTGACTTTTAGCTCCTACAGCAAGAAACACTTTGTATGCATTTGCTTTTCTGTAATGTGAGTTGTATTTTCCTGGCTATTGGAAGTAACAGAGAAGCAGAGAGAATGGGGTCTTTTGAACACCATTTTCACATGTTCACATGCCACCTTTAATCACATTTGCAGGAAGATCTCAGGGTTTCAAGTACAGGTCCAAGGATGTCAGTGGTGCTGTGAGATCAGGTCTCTGTACTGCCAAAGGCAACGTGAATCTCTTAGCCTGTCACACTACTTAATTGGGAAATTATTTTTACTATGGAAACTACTTTCTTTGGCTTTTCTGCTTTAGGCTCTTCAGACATACCAGACCGATCCTGCCATGAGAAAGATGCTAACTCAGCTGTATTTCTATATCATGCCTGTATTTAATGTGGATGGATATCATTTTAGCTGGACAAATGTAAGTAGTATCAGTAATATTATTCAAAAAATTGTTCAGACAGGAAAGACCGAATGGTTGTTACATCATTCAAAGGTGACTTTCTGTATAATCTGGTCCATCACTTTGTGGCACACAAAATGGAAGTAAATTACACCCGTTAAAATGGAATAATAAATATGTTTACCAGGGTTGGTTTGTTATGTGTACAAATAGATTTTTGCCAAAATATAGCAATGTTGCCATTTAACTATTTTATAACTTATGTTAGGATCGATTTTGGAGAAAAACAAGATCAAAGAACACAAGGTTTCGGTGTCACGGTGTTGATGCTAATCGCAACTGGAAAGTGAAATGGTGTGGTAAGTCTGGAGATACTTTGGTCCACCAGTTCAGATTACCCTTGTAATTAATTATCCAACAGATTAAGTGGGTTAGGTCACATCTATTGTGAAGCATTCTCTTTTCCATAGTTAAAGTTGAAGCTACTTTCACATAAAGTCACAAGCCAGGGCACAAATTTTCCTTCTAGCTTCTAAAAAAATAAAAGTCCTGAACTTTGGAAAAATACATTTTATCACAAGTAAGAAGTTTTCATAGCGACTGTGGCAAAAGTAAAAAAAAAACAAAAACAAAACCAAAAAAAACCCCAAAAAACCCTGCACATACAACTATTCTGTATTTCTGCAATCATATAAATAATTTCAAGCACAGTACTGAGCTAGGTCAATCATATTTCAGAATTTACCTGACTACAGCTTTAGGAAACATTTCAAACTTAATTTTATTTAATTTGTCATTTCTCTGAAATGGCTTTAGCTTTGGAAATGTCATACTTGCTTTGTTGGCCTCAGAGAAGTGCCTGAGAATATTTTAAGGCCATTATTATTAGCAATTTAATAAAGAAAGAAGGTGCTTATATATGCATGGACATCCAGTTTTAAACTCCCAGCACTTCTGTAAATACTTTCATAAAAATTGACCTCAATTTTTCATAGAGAATGCAGCAGTAATGAAATACTAGCAGAAGATTTAGAATGAATCCACTGAAGAAGAAATGGTATTTTATTAAATCTTACAGCAAAGACGGTGCAACTCTCACACAGGAGTAAGCAGCCATACAAGTTCTGGTGCAGCAGAAAGTAATAGCACCTTGTTGTGAAATATGGCGAGAGAGATGACACAGATCTAGATCTAGGTATATCCCTGGTTTTTCTGCTGACCTGCTCTCCCGTCTTGAGCAACTTCCTTCACCCCTCTGTGCAGCTGACTTCTCCTCCATCTGCCTTGCTTATTTACATTATAAACTTGTAAAACAGAAATTGTGTTTGCATAGCGCTAGCGCAACAGCCCGCCCTTCAGCCCATCCCTCTTCCACTGGAAGTCTCTAGACGTTTCCACAATACTCCGATTGCTTGCAGTAGGAGTAAGGACTGTACAGTCTGGCTTGCGGCGATTGGATTCTTCACGCAGATTTTTGAGAACTGTAAGGATAAAAGTGAGCGTGAATAATCTGCCTAGGGCGATTACAAATGAGGTGAGAGTGAACAGACAAGTACATTCAATACAGTATGGATGTATGAAATATGCTTCCAATTTTTTTCAACTCTACTCGCGGTAAGGAGAGGACTGACACAGAGGCAGTTACAGAAACCCTATGTTAGCTGAGATTCCCTCCACGACAGAAGATAGTCCCAGGGCTGCTATCACCATCTTTAAGGCAATTCTATGCTGCAAAAATAATGTTAAAATGAACCAAAGACCTGCATCGCTATCACCATATTTTACTTAAGTGTGTAAGTCACAACTGCAAGTATTTTGGGGACTTAAATTTACTGTTCAGAAGATAGCCACCAGTGTAATTGGAATGAACAGTTCTCTTGCAAAGTCCCCAAAGCCATAGTATAGGTACCTATCAGTGCAACATTAATACTCACACAGTGCATTTTCTTTCTAGTGCTAATGAATCTTTGTTGGGTTCAAATCACTCTGCTCCTCCCTCTCCTTGCTCCCCAGCCACCGTACTAAAGCACACTTTTTTACTCAGTCCTGAAAATGTTTGCTTAGTTTTCAGTAAAAAACATTTTTTCTACACTGAGTGATACTATAACAAAACACAGACACATTGTGTGTTGTAATCCACTGCTTGTTGCATTTCTCCCCTGCACTGAACATTAAAGACAGGTCCTCACCCCAAGCTTAAAAAAGAAAAATTCATTCAAGGATGCTCGTCATCCCACCAAGCACATGCTCTGCTTCCCTCACTGGACCCCAAACTCCATCTGATTCTCTGTTTTGTTGGAGAATAAAGAGCTCTTTCATGAACTGGGCAGACTGGTGCTCAGAAGATCCTCACCTGGCGCCCCATATTCTCATTAATCTGACACTAAATGAGGCAGGGAAGAATCTAGATCATATCACACTTTGAGGCTTGTATAATCATGGTGTGTTTAACATTTAATACCATGTATGCTTGCTTGTAAAAACCCTTTTCTTTCAGTTCAGTAGCACTTGCAGTTTGCAGACAAGGCTTGAACTTCACCGTGGGGCTTCCAGGCAAGTCTGTTGTGGCAGAACCCAGCCCCAGCAAAGCTGCTGAATGCTAGCTGCAGTTAGCTACTTGGTAAAGATAACACAGTATCCCTTCTGCTTTCCTCTTCCCTTCTGGTGTAGGACTTTGATGTAAGCTTTATGATGTTGCTTCTATATTCTCTACAGCCTGAGAAAAGGGCTATATCACCAATTGTGGTAGATTTTGCTTTGCAGCGCCCTGTGCCCAAAATAGTCCACAGAAATTGCACACAGACCCAGGTGAATACTGACAGCAAGATCACTGGGTAGAAATGCTCCTTGCTATATATATTTATGTGCAATAACTAGCACAATGGTTTAATGTTCTTGAAATAGCAACGTTAAAGCCAATAATGAGGTAATTAGAACGAAATTATGTCATAGGCCAAATCCAGTTAAAGGGGTTGCATCTGAAGCCCCCAAGAGAACAGCAGTGGGAGTTAAAATTTCCAGTGCATCCCACTTTCCAGTGCACCCCATTGCTCACTGAGGACAGTTCCTCATACTGGCAGAAGAAGCGGCTGCAAGGAAGTTTGAGAATCATGCTCCAGATAGTCCATGCTCCCAGCCTGCCTTCTGTACCAAAGGATTGGTTTTATCAGTCTCTGCACACATTTCCTTTGCACATTTGATCTGATGGTGTATGTTGGAGGATACTTGTCCTCTCCCGGTATGCTATCAGGTACAAAAATAAGGCAGCATGGTGACATTTTATGCAATTCCATTTTCTTCTCATGACTGTAATCCAGAAATTTCACAGGAGATGATACGTACTGTATCATTTTTTTCATTCTTGTGTTACTTTAAAAGAACTTCCAGTGTGAATACTGAGGATATCCTTACATTATCCAAGGCCACTTTTTACTACCAGCCAGCTTCACTTACGGAAAAGCATTAATTACAGCTGGGATTGCAAATGGCTCACAACAGTAGGCTGGACAGTTTAGAGAGGTTTTTTCCTTCACTGAAAGTCACTAAACTGAGTCATACTTTACCATTGGGTTATTTTACCATTAGCTTGTAGGATTCTGCTGTTTATTAACAGTGATGTCCATTTTCATGATTCAGTATGCAACACTGTTACAGGAGATGAAGTATCCATAAAATAAGCAAAGGCTCCAGAGGCTCTGTTAAATAGCTCTCCTTTAGCTATATTATCTGCCAAGACTTCGAGGCAGTGCTCTTGGGATTTGGATGAGTTGGTGGCCATCTGTTCTGCAGGGAGGAGACCATCTGCCCTCTATATAACCCTTCCATATTCACTGCAATCTAAGCACTAATACCTTTTGAAATCCCCACCTGTGGCCATTGAATGGTAGCCTCAATTTTTGTATTACAAATGAAGCTGCAGCATGAAATTCTTCCACTTTTTTTGGCATTAGGTTGATTGCATAACCCTGGTTTAGTTCATATTATTATGCCTTCTCACACACTGCTCTCTTCTTATTATTTGAAGATGGCAGTACTTACTATACAAAGGAAAGCTAATAAAACACTGCTTTTGTAAGTCCCTGATGACACTAGGGAATGTCACAAACAAACTATTCTTATTCTGTGGGTCAGTGTAAAACATGTGGCATTTTGAAATCACAGTGGATAAAAGAGCGGAGTGGATTTGCATAAATATTTTTCTTTCAGACCCAGGCCCTGAGCTGTAAATGAGACGGTGGCTTACATCCAGAATTGTTAAATGATAAAGAAGCCACTACCACATCTCCTTTTCTGAGTTTCATCTTTCAGTACCTCATGGGATATTACATGCAGGCTACACTTCTGCAGCTTACTGCCACCTGAGCAGGTTGACGTGGTGAAAGATATCCTCACAACTGAACCCCTGCCCCAAACCTGAAGGAAAAATAAGCCCTGTGCAAACTGAGGTGATATCTATTTTAGCTAACTGAGCAATCATCCTATGCGGCTTGTCATTTTTTCCCAAAGGTTTGAAAGAGCAAAAATAGGCAGTAGTCAGGGACTATTCTCATGTTTTAAACCAGTCTCTAAGATAGTGCCTGCTGAGGTTATCTACCTAGCATTGTAACCATCACTGTAGTAGCTAGTACGTTAAAATGCTCTTAAAGCTAGATTTGTCTTGGCAGTGACTAGTGAAAGAGGTATAGCACTCTGATTTCAAATAGACCAACTGAGACCCTTCAATAGTTTTAATACTGGAATGCTATCATAAAATGTGCCCCTCATATGGAAAGCCGGGGAAGAAAATACAATGAAGTCAGGGTCTCCTTTTTCTGTTGGGTTAAAAATACATCCCCTGAGGAGAACTGCATGTAGTTGGCCAAGTGGCAACTTGGTGTGTCTACTAGATAATGGAGCAGATTGCTGTACTGAGGTCCCACTGGCTCATGCCCATCAGTTACAAGAAAGCAATTTGTTTATTCCTTTTCACACTTTTACATGCAGGCCCTCGCAGGCTAAGCCAGAAGTTGATCCTTAGAAATTCTCCATGATTGCTTCCCATCAACTTTCTCTTTCAATCTCTAGATGAAGGTGCTTCATTTCACCCATGCGATGACACCTACTGTGGTCCCTTTCCTGAGTCTGAGCCTGAAGTAAAGGCTGTCGCTCATTTTCTCCGCAAACATCGGAAACAAATAAAAGCCTATTTGTCCTTCCACGCATACGCACAGATGCTGCTGTACCCTTACTCTTACAAATATGCAACTATTCCAAACTTCGGCTGTGTGGTAAGTACATTAAAGCTTGGGAGAATATGCTTCCCTGTATAGTATTGTTTGGTATGTTTTGTTTTGAGAGGACACTTGTTTCTTCAATACTTTGCACATACTTTAATATTGAGTGGTATTTATTCTAGATCAGCTTGCAATCGCATTTCCGGTTATATAACCTTAATTCAAAGCGAGTCAGCGGTAATTCGATTAAAATGGCATAGTGCCTTCCATCCATCGGTCCCTTTAAATTACTTTATAGGATAAATCCCTGGGTTTTAATTATAGTTATTATCATTTTATTTAATTAACCGTAATGGGAATTATGTAGTTAAGTCCTTGGGCATCTAGATGAAATTCTGTCCCTTCATGCTCAGAACTTAAACACTGGAAGCACAAAGAAGATCATCTTTATGAACAAAATAAAATTGAAATGGCTTATATTTATCAATTAGAGGAGAAATCTCACAGATTTCACCAAAAGTAAAGCTTGTATTGCTCTGTGTATCATCCTGCTCAGACATAGTGGTTTTACCCCTTTAAGACAAGCAGTTAATTAACATCAGGTGATTTAGAGTTTTGTCTGTTAGAAGAATAAAATAATAAGAGTACAGGTTTTGATGCAAGCCTATTGATTTACAAATATGTACATTTCATGTATTCCATGCTCATCTGAATGCAGAACTATTCCCTCCGCTCACAGTTTGAGGTCTGTTTTTAGCCAGCCTCCTGGACATAAACCCCTCCTGATTTCTGTTATGGAAATATGGCTCAAGCTTCACTTTCTGTTTGCTCCTTCACACAGACACACATTGTACCAACCAGTAGCAAACCCCTTTCTTTCACCCTCAGTCCTCAGTAAAATGACATTGTCCATGTATCTCCCATTTTGGCCTTGAAAGTTGCAGTGACATTAAACTTGCTAGTTTAAGCTAGTTTACTCCAAAAGGAGCTTAACTGCCCCTTAGATTTATCCTGTGCAGAATAAATGATGTTGTTAGTCCTGGAGCTTTGCTGAAGTTTTGCTCAGCTGCCCTCTGAGGAGGCTGAGCAGCACTCCAAAAACTGAACTCACTTTGTGGGTTAATTTCTGTTAAGACACTTAATTTCAGCACCTACTAAAAATTCTCCTGTCTGATGTCATTCTTGCGAAACAGAGCAAATTAGAATTTAACTAAGCAGCCAGAGAAGTTAAAAATATGAGACTTGTAGGGACTGGCCACCCAACCTTGCATTGACTGCAAATAAATCCATGAGCCTTCTTTTTATTCTACCTTCTCCACCCTCTTTTGGGGCATGGAAAAAGGAAAAAAATGAGTTCCCTGAGTGAATTGGTGACTGTTACTTACCAAAAAACATAGACTGGGAATTTAAAACCACAAGATTTCTTTCCTTTGAAGATCAGCAGGTGCAAGCACATTTTTTTAAGGACAGACAAGACAGCAGAAATTAAAGACATGGTATTAGGAAGAATGAGCATCGGCTCTGCAAGAAGATGACTGTTGGGTATCTTGATGAAAATACCCAGAGTAATGTAAGGCAATAGCAGGAAATTCATTGTAAGGAGAAGGAGTCTCTGAGAGTTTTCCACATACCAGTAAATCTTCAGTTTGTGTTGGTTTTGCTGCTCGAGGGCTATTTCCATTCTGAGACAGGGAGTAACTGCCCCTCAGCGCACACACTCTACCTTTCCATCCACAGCTTTTAGACCAAAGGAACCCAGTTTTTAATGAGTAGTAGATGTTCCCCAGCTTTGTGAGACCTTGGATCAGGCTTCTCATCAGAGGGAGTGGAACACAGACCTAAAAGGACAAAGACAGACACTGTTTTAGACAACAGCCCTGGACAAATGGAAGCCAAATCCCAATTCTAAATATTTTGCCAGTATTTGAACTCTATAATTCTTTCTATTGCAGTGGGTCAGAAAGAACAGGGAGGTCAGAATAAGAAACTGAAGTAATTTCCTGTTATTTAGAAAGCTCATTACAGGGATCATAGTGAAAATGAATGGAATACTGTTGCTTATTTATTTTATTTTTGTTTTTTAGTATTTGCCTACAGCCAAAGGCTCCATCCCCTGTGTGGTGGGTTGACCCTGGCTGAG